GCTGCCCCGGGCTCTCGGTGGGCCCCATCCCACCTGCTCCTGCTGCAGCGGCCCCGGGAGCAGGGTTGTGCCGAGGTGTTACCTAGGGAATGCTTTCCAGAGCAAACCGGCGGAGCACTGCAGATCCTGAAGCTGTTGGGACACAGACTGGTTCGGTTTGATTCGGAAGATAACTTTCCAGTTGCTGAAACCGATTTGGTTCCTTTGAGCCTGCCATTATGATACAACAGCTTTTCTATCTAGTTATCAATTGAGCTGCTATGCTTCTATCCCCTGCTCTTTTTAGGTAGTTTTATGCTTTTAACCTTAACTACTGGTAACTCATTAGAGAAACCAGATTACAGACAAGAGGGGCAGCCCTTAAAGCCTCACCCTTTGCTACCGCTATAGAGTTAGAAGGGGATTTTACTCAGGCAGATCCTGGGACTTAATGGACTTTTCTCCCAGGTAATACCCTGTACTGGTGCAAGTGTTTTGAGCTCTTCCAGTACATGAAAGAAATGGGAGCTGTCAGATCCATTTTCTGTAACACGTGCATGAATATCTGAGGGCTGATTTCATCATGGTCCACTTCTGCAGTCTACAAAAAGCTCTGGTACTCCAGCCCTCTTCTAAGCTGCAATAGCTAAGCTTACAGGATTCACATCTATGTAACAAGGTAACGCAGGACGCACTGAGCACTACATAATTGCAAAAGTTTTCCATCCCTTTATTCCTAGGGGGAAGAAGAGAAAGGGGAATGGGAAGCTTCCTTGTTGCAGTAACATTTTGGCTTCCCTAGAGCCTCCTCAGCTCCCAGTCTAGTTGAGTGACAGTCTGCCCCCTCTGCCTGCCCAAGAGCAAGAGACCCAGCAGTCCTGGAGAGCCACCGTCCACATGCTACGGAGTAGGGTAGTTCCCTGCGCTGCGAGGGAGCGGTCTGACAGTGCCCATTGTAACATGGCTATTATCTTCTGCTTAGATTCTCCAAGTATTATGGATATTTCAATAACCTCAGAAGCAGAAGAGAAAAAACCAAACGTTAATAACGTGCCAGACTATATCAGCGATATCCATACGTACCTTAGGGAAATGGAGGTGAGCTGCTGTCTCTTTTCTTGTTTACATACAGCTTATGAGGGAGAAATTTGGGGTTGAGAAATGCATCTAGACATTAGTTACTACTATAGTGACTAAATTAAAGCTTGCTAGAAATGGATAAATAAGGTGCTGTGTCCGCTGCTGTGGACACAAGACTGGTTTCCTGTGATAAAGTTGACTGTGCCACGCACTAAACAGAAGCTGGAAAGCAAGATCATAGAAATATAACTTAGTGATCCTAGACTTACCATTGTTTACGTCTGATCTGTTTAAACTGTGGTAAATGGAGCTTAAACTCTCTACCAGCACTTAGTCCAAACTCAATCTTATCTGTCATCTAAACCTACAGGTGAAATGCAAGCCTAAAATGGGTTACATGAAGAAGCAACCTGATATCACAAATAACATGCGGGCTATTCTTGTGGACTGGCTGGTGGAAGTTGGAGAGGAATACAAATTACAGAATGAAACCCTGCACTTAGCTGTGAATTACATTGATAGGTTTCTTTCGTCAATGTCTGTTTTGAGAGGAAAACTTCAGCTTGTGGGTACTGCAGCTATGCTGCTTGCATCGTAAGTGAAATTGCTTAATTTAAAATTCTACCTATGGGTCTCATACAGATGGATATCTTGTGGCTATCACATTTCTGTTGCCTATAGCCAGACTGACTCGGGAGGGCTTCATGCTAGAAGAAAAATCAGGAGCTCTCCACCTAAAAGCTTGGCAGTTTGTATGAAACACTGCAAGCAAGGTTCTAGGCTATCTTTGTAGGTTGCCCTATTGTGAGGATTCATTATTTCTAGCTGCAGCAGCAGAAGGCTTCTAGACAGTGAGGGAATATGCACGAGGCACGTGAAAAGAAAGTTTTGCTTGCACCAATTATTAGTTTAGTGGGTTCTTCTGGAATTTCAGTAACTCTTGAGTCCCAACTTGCTTAGTGCTAAAATATCAGGCTATTGTAGCTCTGTAATTCCAAATTCTGCTCGTTCAAGAGTTACTAAACCAAGTGCAGCAAACTTGTTCACTAACAGTGCCCAGCTACTTCACAAGTCAGAATTTAAATTAGCATGCTGGCTTTCATTAAATGTTGCTGGTTATCTGGTTTTCTAGTACTCAATTATTTGCTTGTAAATATTTCTCCTGGCAGAAAGTTTGAAGAAATCTACCCTCCTGAAGTAGCAGAGTTTGTCTACATCACAGATGACACCTATACCAAGAAGCAGGTTCTGAAGATGGAGCACTTAATTTTGAAGGTTTTGTCATTTGACTTAGCAGCTCCAACAATCAACCAGTTCCTCACTCAGTATTTCCTACATCAGCAGACAAACGGTAAAGTGGAGAGCCTATCAATGGTAAGTAAGAATTACTAGAGAGTTCTATTACTATTAATGCACTTTACAAGTTCTGTTTCTTAGTTCCAGTAGAAAAGAAAAGAAATGCTGAAGGATTCTTCAGTCCAGGCTTCCCTGTTGCCTCCTATTTTTAAATGCATAGTCTCTGGGAGAGTTCTGGAGAGTGCATACTTTATGCCGCATGCTCCTGCAGAAGTGGTGCCACACCACTGGAAACTAACGCTCCTGTTGCCACTTATGTTTGAGATACTCTATTCCTATCGCAGGCTGGCACTTGGCCTGGCTCAAGTGTGCACGCTTACTCAGAGCAGGCAGAGATTGATGAAATTTAATCTGGGGTTTGTTTCACTGCTAGATGTTTCCCTCTTATCTAAAACTGCCACACCTACCCACCCACTTTGGCTAAAAAGGACTTTTGTTTTGGTTTTCCCCTCAACAAGCAGTGAGCTCTAAATCCAGAGGCCAATTTATAAAGCAGAGCACAGATAACGTTTCAGCTGAAGTTATATTAAATCCTAACTGTATGGCAGGTCCACAGCTCCTAAATAGAAACCTTTGTCTCACTCTGCAAAGGTCAGAACCAACTACACTCTTCCCTCTAGATCTTATATACCTCTAAATATAAAATGTGGTGTTGAAAAAGCATGCGTTGGGAACACTGACAGTAGCTAACAGTAGATGCCAAAAGAGAAAGTAAGTGGAAACTAGTAAAAGCTGTTCCTCCAACTGATGGCAGAATTGGAAGCTTAAATGAGGGTTCTAGTGCAACTATTAAATGCTCTTCTACTTCCTTTTGGAAGCAGATGATTCCCTTTCTCTCGTTTCCCTTGCAGTACCTTGGGGAGCTGAGTCTAATTGACGCTGATCCTTACCTGAAATACTTGCCATCGGTTATTGCTGCTGCAGCATTTCATCTAGCAGGCTATACGATCACGGGACAAACTTGGGTATGTAGCACTAAAACTTGAGCCTTCACGCACCTTTATGCACCGTTAGTGTATTCGTATGCGGTTCTGAATGCTGGGGCCTGGGCTGCAGGAATCTCAGCCCCTCCGTACTCCTAGGCTGTTAATTAGGGATTGCTCCCTATGATACTTGAAAAATGGGGGTGGGACACCCCTTTTCTTGGAGGGAAGAGGCATCTACTGATGCACTCCGTTCTGGTGATCCTCCTCAAAGCTGTAAGCAGCTTCCTTGTGGTGAGGAAGTGGGCGGTAAGAAAGCCTAAGCGCTGGAGGCAAGGAATACTTGTTTAGAATATGATAGTTTTCAGGATTACTGTAAATATACATGAACTGCTAAAATCTGAGCAGTGAGTATTAAACTATTTTGTGCTTGAGAAAACAACACTCTGCCAACCTACTAGAACAACAGAGTTCCAACAGGAAGCTAAGAAGAACTCCACCAGTGGTCATCAGCCTAAGTGAACAGAAACGTTCAAATGTCAAATCTGAGCAGTGAGTATTAAACTATTTTGTGCTTGAGAAAAAAACACTCTGCCAACCTACTAGAACAACAGAGTTCCAACAGGAAGCTAAGAACTCCACCAGTGGTCGTCAGCCTAAGTGAACAGAAACGTTCAAATGTCCCTCTTCCTTTCCTTTTTCCCTCAGCCTGAGTCCCTGTGCAAAGTAACAGGCTACACCCTTGAAGACATCAAGCCTTGCCTCATGGACCTGCACAAGACCTACCTCAAAGCAGCACAGCACATGCAACAGTCCATAAGGGAAAAGTACAAGAGTACAAAGTGAGTATCTGCAGAGATGTATGATAAGCTGGTATGTTACGCCTGAGCTCTCCTAGCACGTAACTGCTTAACGGGGTGGGGTGTATCTTGAGTCTTCAGTCAGACTCGACTAACTAAATCTACCACGTAAGTGAAAGGGTGACAAGACTCCCCAGGTTTTTGCACAGTGTTTTGTTGAGCAATACTTCCGTGTTCACCACCAGGCCTGCTATCGCTACCTGAACTGTCAGGTACAAACCGGAGGAATTTTCTTGATATTCCTACAGTTGGTAGGCAGGAGATGGTACCTAATGCTCCTAAAAATCTGTGTTGGCGTGACAGCTGACAAGCCCCAAAATGTTTTCTGCCTTGTGAGAAATGTGCTTCGCTGCAGTATGTATGCTATTCTCTATGGCAGAGAGCACTTGAGCAAGATGACATCCTGCGTCTTTTTTCCCCTCTCTAGGTACCATGGAGTATCGCTTATTGACCCACCAGAGACACTAAACTTATTGTAATAATCAAGAGACTGATCTTTTTATAAGAAGATGTATATTACGAAAAAATGATGTACAGTTTTAAACATGGTTCAAAATTCTAGATGTGATCACTCAGAATATTAATACAGGTTTTGATGAGCTTAATTATGACGTTAGTTTTATGTGGTTTTAATGTAAATCTTTTGTACATGCAATCTTGTTAAAATATTTAGCTGGGTTTTTATAAAAACGTTCTCTTCAAGCACGGAATTAACCATGCAGACCAAGTGAAGTCTGAGACTGCTTATCTAATTGTAGACTAAACATTAATATTAGCAGTGCATTATTATAGTAGGGCTTTTTCTCTTTCCAAGTAAGAATGACTTGGACTCCACAGCAGTATTTGTAGCATTTTTTTACTGTCTAGTTTAAACTGAGACGTAGTATAGATCCAAAATGTGGCTTAATGGCTATAATACTGGAAGAAACTATATAGCTATGAGGAGAACACCTTGCTGGAATTGACTCTTGTCAGGCTCTTTAGGATGTGCCAGTTACTGGAAGCCTTGATTGCTATGTGTAGCTAGATCTCCATCAGGCTAAAGGTTGAATGCTCTGCTGCAGGGACTGCACGGCTAGAACTAGTTCATACTCCTTTCTTCCAGTACATAGAAAATGGTCTTGCTCTAGATATTTTCTAGTCAAAGTGTAAGACTGATACTAATTTAAACCCATGGAGTCCCCACTGATGTGTTAGCTGTCCCAAAAGCCCATCGATACCTACTAAAAAAATTATAGTCATCAGTCTGCTTACCTAGGACCTCTTTAGAGGCAGTGGAGGGATTAAACTGCAGGAGGGTGAACTACTGCTCTGTGCGCTCAAGAGGAGGGAATGTCTTCTGGCGCGGGCGGGCTATGTGCGGAATGGTACAAATTCTGTACATCCCTCTTGCTAGGAAAGGGTTCCCCTGCGGCATGCATCAAAAATGTAGACCAACTGGTCTTATTTTTCCTTAGTTCTAGAACTGTTACAGGAGCAAACTAGCACATAAGCGGCATTACATCAAGTGAACATTTACCTTCAGCCTGTGTAAATGGAGAGATGCTGCCCTGTACCTGCTGTTCTTTGCATGTAAAGCAGTGAGTGCATGGAAGTGGGTTTAATTAAGCCATTTCCACGTTGGCTAATAAACAATTTTTACATCTGATGTTAGTGGTCTTGCCAGTACCTTAAAACCCACTGAGGGGTAGCACTACCATCTTAAACTGGCATTTGTTTCTAAAGCTTTTTGGCAGGGGCTGCCCTGTGAAACCTGTGCCACTTCAGCTCGAAGTTGACTCAACACTGTCTGGTTATCTGGATGCCCAGCAGGCAGCAGCATAAATCCTTCACAGATGTCAAACAGCTGTTATGGTGTAGGCTATTGAAAACAAATTCTAAAAAAAAAATCATCAGCCCTCTGTCAAGCTGACAAGCACGCATTATAGTGAGACAACTCGCATGTCTTGACTCAGGAACTGAAACTTGCTGTTCTGCCCCCACCCCTGTCCTGCAGCCTGAGCCCTCCGTGAACCAGCTCAGTTACAAAACCGATCGAGGCGAGCAGTGGTGGCTTGTCCAGTCAAAAGTATGCAGCAGAGGCTGCCTTTTTTGGCCAATCTGAGCTTTTTAGGATGCACTTTGACTTTTATACATGTTCTAATGTTTAATGAAGAACTATATTTCATTGGTCTACCATGTTCTCCAATAGCCTTTATTTAGCTTAATTTCAGTAGGTTGCCACTGAAAAGCTAAAACTAGTTGGGGAAAAAAACGTGCAGTGTATCACGTCTGGTGCTTAGCATTGGAAATGCTCTAACCTTGCAGGAGAGGGAGTTGGTATGTACAGGAACACGTTTGCCACAGTTGCGACACCAGTTTGTGACCGTGGAAGGGCCACTCAAAAAGCTGACTGGCAATTATTCTTTGAAGACCATAGAGCACAGGGCTCTTCCTGAGAAACTGGTTTCTGCCTTCCCCTTCTTTTTTGTGGTGTATGCTGGAAACTTTCCAAGACCACTGAGAAATATGAACATTGGAAGAGGAGTAATTTAAAGGAGGCTTATGAATTTTTTTTCCCCAGAAAAGAGCAAGTAGCAGTACTTAAGTGAAAGGACTACAGTTGCTTACAGTATTAATTTACTGCTTAATGAAATGTCTCCTTGCCCTGTTTTCAATTGAAGTTGTTCTGCTACTGTTCCCATAGCACAGAGGAAGACTCTCCCTTGCTCCCTGAGCTTTACTTTTAACATATGAATATGGCTTCCTCTACAGCCTAAAAAAATGCTTCAGTTGTAGGCTGACATCTCTGCCCAGTATGGCTACACTCCTCCTTCCTCACGGACAACTCTTGCTGCTGCAATAAGTACCATCTTTTTTCATCTTCTCATTTTCCAAAGTTAATAGGGGACGATTCCAGCTCTTGCTACTACCCTTTGAATAAAATCTCCCAGGTTGTACTGTACTGCTGTAGTTTAACTTCTAGTCCTTTCAAAATAAAGCCTCTGAGGAATGCAGGGTATGAGATGTTACGTGTGAAGAAGAAAGAATTAGCAGTGCAACAAATACTGTTCTTTTTCCCTGATGAAATTTAAGGTCTTGTGGTACTGAGAAGTAAGAAGAAACTGAATCTTCACTCATTCTTGTACTCCTGACAGTGACTTTGGGTTGGAAGAACTGACACTAAGAAAATGCAGTGGTTTAGCTCCTGGAGGAGTGGGGCTTTCTGTGTTTGTCCCAACCTGCGTAAAGCTTTGCTTGGTTGGGAGCAAATTTTTTTTTTTTAAAACATTAAATTCTAAACCTGATTTGGGAAATGTAATATCTGCCACCATAACTTCTCTCCTGTTCGTATTTCATGGAAATACTAAGGTCACATGTAAAATGGTCCTACTTTGCTCTTGTAAATATGTGCGTGTTTCCAATTTGACTTGGTTTTCAAACTAAGCAGCTAGGTCGGATATTTTGGAAACCTCCTTGTCTCTTTGCTTTGCCCGATTCTGAATTCAGAGCATAAATTCTTTGAATATAGTTCAAGAAGCATTCCTGTCTGTTGCATGTAATATTTAATTAAACTTTTTAAGAAACTTCATTGCTGAAGTATGAGTTGCTTCTCTCTGAAAGTTTTGCAGAAGTTCTATGCTCTTTGCTAAGTACATGCATTTCTGTTGATTTTTATACAAAGCAGCTTCAGTGAAAGGTAAGGTGTGGAGTGACACTGGCAAGAAGGTCTTAGTCACAGCACACCCTTTCCCCCTGTGAAGAACACACCAAGGTATGAAACACTTCCAAGGTGTGCTAATAGCTACCTTAACTAAAAAGAGCTTTTCCTGGCATTAAACCTGAGCCATAATTCCTTTTACCACCTGAGCTCTGACTATACACAGCTCACTTTGGTAACGGCAGAAGCTGTTTTCTTAAGAAAACTATGCATCTTACCTCTGCACTCAAGAGTCAGTTCAAGCTGAACTAGTGAGTATTCTGCTGCAGCTGGATAGAATTTCATGGAACCATGCAATTTCACTTACATGCAAAATTTTTTTATTTAAAGCTGTGTACAATAGTTTTGTAAAATATACATAAAAAGCAGGACCAGATAGGGGGTGGGAGGAAATAAAATTATCTACAAAAATAAGTTCAGTCACAATAGACCAAATTATGTGCTCTACAGCATTTCTGAAGGAGGGATGATGGCTTTAATGAGCAGCTCTCTTCTTTTTTCTCCTTTTGTTAAATGCCTTCTTACTTGTATTTTCTTGTTTCGAGTTGGTCTGTGTTCTGTGAGCAAACAACATTTGTATCAAAGGAATGTACTGAATAGTTTTATTTCAAGAGAACACAGGCTGATGGTCAGGGCAGCCATCCACCACGCTCAGTGCCAAGTTCAAACTCAGTTTCTAGAAAGTGTACTACACACAACAAGGAGGGTTTCCACGGCTAGTGCAGGGATACAGCAATGAATCTCACTTCTTGGAGATAACACTTAAGATTAGCTGTAGTGTAGTGTGTAGAATCTCTGCAGCATCTCTAAGGAGCAGCTGATTCAAATCCACTTTTATGCTCTCACTGCCTTTGAAATGAAGAAGAGTCAAATACCTATAACTGTTTCAGACAGCTGCAGGTCAGCCAGGATGACTGGCCTCCTCGGGCAGGAGCAAACTAGCCCAGATTTAAACTTCCCCGCTCTCGGCTATCTATGTAGTCCCCTTAATCAACTGAGCCCTTTCTTGGCCTTGCCAAAATCCTGTGCTTCCTGAAAATACCCCTTACAAACTCCCTTCCCCTCCTGATGTCACAAGATGGTTACCTTGTTTTCTTTGGTAGTTCCTGTGGTTCCAGAATGACAACTTCTTCCTCTTCACTGTCAGACAGTACAATAGGTTCATCTAAACAAACAAACAAAGCACAAACTGGTGATCAGTTTCGTACAAACAACTTCTGTAACTAATAACCACAGCATTTTTAAAGAAACATTCATCATGGCTAGTGCTTAATTTGGAGCCCTCCTTATACTACAGAAATCAAGTTTTCTTTTGAAGAAAAGAGAAGTGACCAGGTGAAGTGAAAGTAGCAAATGCATATAACTCTCAAGTGGAAAGTGGCTACGATGGTTCTCCTTTCTCGTTAAGGACCTCTTTCACATTTTGATTCTAGACTGTTAATAAAGTGATATAATGAGCATATCTGATATAAAGAAGTACTTACCCTTCTTTGTTTCCCTCATCGTACTTGTATCCTCAGTTTCCATTTTCTGACATTCAAAAGCGGCAGCCTCACTTTCACCTTCCTCTTCTGCTGCTTCTTCCCTCTCAGATTCTTCAAGATCTCCCCAGGAGTTCTCTATTCCTTCCCCAATTTGAGCTGTCCCAGGAGTGTGCAATATTGGTTTGGCAAAACTGAAGTAGTTAAGAAAAAACTCGGTATTTGCTGGGAAACTTATTTACTCTGAGAGCAAACCAGTTGTTTTTTAAGCTGTATCTTTTCTCCCTAGGGTAGAGAACATCCTTAAAGGGGAGTTGAGAGAGAGTACTTCTTCTCTAGTTACTGTAACAATCAGTCACTTCAGACCTCAGTTTTGCACTTTATGCTAGGAATTAAGTTACCTAAAAGCAGTTAGAACCAAAACCAATATGATGTTGGTGTTTCCTCTGAGGGCTATAAGGCTGTGAGGAATCTTGGATGTGTGTTTAGCTTCTAGTAGTGCCAACGCAGGGGATGGGAAGCCTGGTTTTCCCCTGAATAATACAACAGAAAAGATACACTTCTGAAGGAGGGTCAGCCTTAGTAATGATTTCTTCTGCTTGCTCTTCCACATTGTTAGTATCAACAGCAGCGCTTTCCATTTTGAATGCGGTGATCTTTTGATTGGGTATAGATTCTGCAAAGCCGAACTTCCCACCTTCTTTCCTAGTCATTCAGTGACAGACATTGTTTCAGGATGTTTCACACTTAAAAATGCTTTCTCTTTTCAAGTTCAAATATACAAACACTTGCTAT